ATCCGAACTAATTAAAGAGGTATTCATTTACCCCAAGGTAAAAATAATGTTCAATGTAAATTAATTATACAAGAAAATAAGATGAGGTAAAGCAAAGACCACTTGGACTTAGCAGGTTCCAAACTTCCAATAATAATCCGTATGTAACCGTATTAACACGGTTTGTGTTTCCTCTTTAATTAATTCCATGCACTAAACTACGTATACGACTGGTCTAATCAAATTTAAACATTAATGGGCTACATTTAACTAATTATTAATTAATTAACAAAAAAACAGGACAACTATGAAAAGATGCACCAGCTGGCTGCTGGACTGTACACAAATGCATTCAAACCTGGTCCATATTCCTAATCCATCTTACATTTAGAGCTTAGATTTGGATTTAGAAGCAAAAAAAGTCATACCCTACCCCCGCACGCCAAAGTCCCCCAGCATCGATCCGAACCGTAATTTAGAAAGAATTAAATTGAACTATGACATCAATCTGATAAAAATCAAACTAACGTTTACGATAATCTTTTTTTCCACAGTTATCATAATCGGGATTAATTTCACGTGAAACTATCCTCTCGACCAGCTGAGTTACGCCGGGCTCGGTATTGATTTAGATGAGGCTAAGAAGGTGGGTGGGTGTCGGTCCAATGGTCTGGGGGGCATGTGGGGCCCCAACGCATTCCCAACCAACCAAAGTACCATTTGTGGCTGCTTTCAGAGTACATTGACGAGTGACAAGTGACGGCGACGACATTAACGAGGAACAGACAAACCATATGCTACTCTCCCCTTTAACTGTCTAATCGCACCCAATCCCTAGAAGAATCTGGTCTGTGTTGTTGGTCTTTGATTTTTGACATTTGTTATGGACTTCTTGGGCCTTGTTTTACTATTTTTTGGGTTGGTACTCTTTTTGGGCCCTTACTAGAGTGAGCCTTTCCATTGTTGGGCTTTGCTATGCTTTGCTCCCTATATATACATAGTGCTTAATTACTGTAGCCAATGGAAGGACTCAAAAAAGAGTTTGGGGTAATTAAGGAGGCTATGAACCACTTGGAATCTAACAAAGTATTGTATGCAAATCTATTATATAGACCAATGTTATATTATGACTCATATAAAGACTCATTTTTAAGCAAATTCTATGGTGGACTTAATGGACCTACATATTAGTAAAATGATTATTTTCTTATTACTTAAATAAAAATCTATTTTTAAAAAAAATTAAAAAAATTTATTTATGTGAGAAGATTTACAAAAATAGTACTCCCTCCGTCTCATGAAACCTTTCTCCTTTCTTTTTTTATCCGTCCCACAAAACACTTCTTATTTCTATTAAAAAGTCATTTTTACCCCTTACTTTTTCATACCCTAACTATCACATCATACTTTTTTACTAATAATCTATCCATCAAATCATACTTTTACTCATCACATCAAAGGACATTATTGGAAATTTAATACCAAAATACACTCCTTTTAAATCCCTTCTAAAAAGAAAAAGTCTCATGTTTCATGGGACGGAGGGAGCATGTGCTTAAAGTGCACCAAAAAAGCATTCTCATTTTTATCAATGACATATACTCTCTAGCCTTGAAAAGCATACTTTATATTGTTTTCTCTCTTAGTTGCAATTTTTAATATAGTACCACTCCGTATTCGTCCTGTTTGACTTTTTTGAGTCAAACAAGGCAAACATTGGACCTCAACTAAATAAAAATGTTAATTTTTTAGTATAAAAATTATTACAATAGATTTATGTTGTTAAGAACTATTAAAATTTAAATTTGTTGTATTGATGATTAAAATATGTCTAGTTTGATTCGAAAAAGTCAAGATGGACTGTCAAGGGACCAAGTCAATCAAAAACTCAAGTTTGTGATTGTGACCCAGAAAATGTTTCTTATATTCTAACGCACCCCTCACGTGCAGGCGAAGTTTCTGTTTCTTATATGTGTGTGTATGGTTGTGATCCATGTAGAAAAAAGAAATGATATAATGACATTTTTTTCCCAAAATCTGAATAAAATTTTGAAAAAAATGAAATAAAAAGCATTTCAATTGGTATAAAAAACAATTATGGGAGAGAGAGAAAAAAAATACACAAAAGCAGAATAGTTGGAATATGTAGTAATCTCTATCAATTCGATGAAGGAGTAATCCTGATAAAATGAAGCAGAAATTAGGAATCAGGCTAGGCTGTCTGCGGGGCTAATGTGTTGTATCTTCTAGCATAATAATGTGTACTTATTTATTGGCCAGGATTTAATCCCTTGGATTTCTACAAGATCTTTGGTCATTCTAAGGACAAACCAGTGGGGCCTCCATGCTGTTTCTCCACCTAATTGGCTCATTACGGACTCTAATTATATTAGCGTATTAGTTAACAAGTTTTCCCATGTTTGGAACACAATTAAATGAATTAACTAACCTGACCCAACTTATATTATAATCCCTCCGTTCATGAAAACATGCTTATGGGATCTTTGGATTTTTAAGAGATTTAAGAGAAATGTATTTTGATGTTGAGTTTCTAAAAATGTTCTTGAATGTGATTGTAGATTAATAGTAAATAATTGTGATGTGATAAATAAGTTAAGAATTAGTATGCATAAAAATATCTTTTTACGAAAAATGAAAAAAAAAGTTTTTTTGGAACGGATAAAAAACAGAAAGGTTTTCAGGGATGGAAGGAGTATATACTTTTATCATGAAACATATATGTGTGTGTGTGTGTGTATGTATATCTTCCACCCAAAGTAGAGTGCTCAACACCAAGATTAAAACAAATGATAACATTATTCAAGAAATTAGGGGAAACTTTTTTTCTCATTTTTCTCAAAAAAATGGAATGAGAGAATGTAGAAACTTATTAAAATTAAAGTCTTAAGAATGAAAAGTGTTAGACAATAATAATAGTATTACTTGTGGTAGTATTGGTTGTGGTAGTGTTTCATTATTAGTCAGCTTTCTAATCCTATTTGTGGTAGATGTTGTATTTTAGTTAGTTTTCATTTTCTATTCCTAGTTGTGTTAGGAGTCTCTTCTATATAGACTCTATCATGTACTCCATAATTCAATGAGCAATATTATTATTCCAATATTTCAACATGGTATCAGAGTCACTACTCTTGGTGACCTAAAAGAGTTCTTTGCTCCCGCCAACGCCGCCGGTAATTCCGGCGACGGCGGCTCCACCTTATTCCCCTCTATTTTATTTTCCTTCTTTTATCCTCAAGTTAACATCTCCATTCAAAAAAAAAAATCGCGTGTTGAAATCACAAAAAAAAACCATCAGAGGAGAAATTTCTCTCTTGTCATCTCCATAGTTCTTCAAAAAAAACTCCAAACTCCTTTCAAACTCTCTCAACTCATCCTTGTATCTTCTCAAAATCATGTGAAAAAATGATAGTTGTTTCTCTACAATTCATTCTCGAAGATTCTTAGACCTAGATCTTTTCTTCATCTCCAATTCTTAATCCCCTTTTTTTCTCTTTCAAATCACTCATTCTAATCATCAGTGTTTCTTCTCTTTATCTTTTGTTAACCAATAAAATTAAAAAGAACACAAACACAAAGCCAAGAAGGGAAGTAGTGAAAGAGGAAAGAATACCTCTACACCCCTTCAAGAAAGAAATAAGGCATTGCCCGGATCCAAGAGAAAGACAAAGAATGTCAAAAGATCTTCAGTCAAACAAGCACTTCCAGTAGCCTTCTATATTCTTCAACGACGTCAGCAGCCACCGGCGCACGTCAGACTTCTCTCTTCTTCTTCGACGTCAGCTACTGGTGCACGTCAATTTCTCTCTTCTTCAACGATGTCAGCAGCTAACAGTGCATGTCAGAATTCTCTCTTCTCCAATGACGTCAGCAGCCACCGGCGCATGTCAGACTTCTCTCTTCTCCAACGACGTCAGTAGCCACCAGCGCATGTCAAATTCCTCTCCTTTCAAAGTTTCCAGTTTCGAGCTAGTGTCCAAGCTTCTTCTTGTTTCAGCCAGAGTTCAGCTTGAGGGGAGATATTAGACAATAATAATAGTATTACTTGTGGTAGTATTGGTTGTGATAGTGTTTCATTATTAGTCAGCTTTCTAATCCTATTTTTGGTAGATGTTGTATTTTAGTTAGTCTCCATTCTCTAGTCCTAGTTGTGTTAGGAGTCTCTTCTATATAGACTCTATCATTTACTCCATAATTCAATGAGCAATATTATTATTCCAATATTTCAACAAAAAGTGTAGTAGAAAGTTGAAGAGTGTAAAGATTCCTACAATGTGTGGGACTTATAAATAGAAGTAAGAGGATTCCTTCTTAATGATTAAGAAAATCAAGATAATTTCGAAATACATATTTTAATTTTACAAAACGCAAAAACTAATCCTTCCCAAGAATCCCAACCATATGTAACATGCATCATACCCATCCCTCTAAAAAGACTTCCTTTTTTTTCATTATTTTTTTCCATTTCAAAAAATCTTTCCTTTATCTAAATAAAACGTATTTTTACCGATACTAATTTTCACCTTACCTACTGAGTCATATTTATTCATTAGTGATCTACTCATCAAATTTAATCTTTATCCATCACATGTATCAACGATAAATTAGGAATGTCAAAATAAAATATTTCTCTCTTAGATTCTATAAAAGTAGATAACGCAAAGGAGATTTCGAGACGGAAGGAGTATATATACTGTCTAATCTAGCTAGCTTGCAAGTCACCGGGGGGGAAAAAAGGGAGAGGCCATATTGTACGTTAAGGCAAGGCATGGTTTTAACTTATTACTCCATATATGCACCGTCCTATCAATACTTTTCCTTTTTTTGATGGAGGGATGGGTCCCTAAGAGTGTTTAATGTAAGGAAGAAGAAAACATGTGTACATGCCGGAAGTAGGGACTCCCCAGCATGTGATAAGGTCTCTCTTCAAACACCCAAACTGGCCCCTCCTCTTGCCCATTATATATACATATATAACCCATCAAACCACCAAACCAACAACCCCAAAAACCTTTCAATTCCTTCATCAACTTTTTTTTTTAAAAAAAAACCCCAATTTTTTCCCATCTTCTCCAAATTTAATTTGATCCCAAGAACAAACTCAAAAAAAAAAAAAGAAAAAGAAAATGGGTTTCATCAAGAAGTCGTCGTCATCATCATCGACAACGGCAAGAAACAACGTGGTGCCGAAGGGGCACTGCGCGGTGTACGTGGGGGAGAGCCAGCAGAAGAAGCAGAGATACGTGATCCCGATCACGTATCTGAGCCAGCCCCTCTTCCAGGACTTGCTCACTAAAGCCGAGGAGGAGTTCGGGTTCAGCCACCCCATGGGCGGCCTCACCATCCCCTGCTGCGAGCACGTCTTCGTCGACATCGCTGCCCGTTTGAGCCGCATCTGCTAATCATACGTTCAATTAATTACTTAATCAATTAGCAGCGCCGCCGCCGCCGCCGCCTTACGTGACCGAGCTGATCCAGGACCCGTTTTCCTCGTCGAAATCCTTTTCTTTTTTCATCATATATATACATATGATTATTATTTTTTTGCGAAATGCTGAGATCGAAGCAATTCGTTTAACCAATTAAGGATTATTGATCATAAATTTATAATATATATATATATATGGACTATTAATTAATTGTACGTACATATATGGCCGCATACACACACACACACACACACACACACACATATATATAGTACGTAGTTTTTATATGTATATGATTGAATTGTGCGAGAGATCCATATATATTATATCCACAAATCATATACGGCATCCGGATGATGATGGTTATATTAGTTGTCCATGTATTATATATTAATATAATTCTTCATTGCCACTTTGTTGGAACCAAATTAATTTCTATATATATATATAGTGCACTCTTTCGCTCCATTTTAATTAAGAAATTTTTACACTAAATAGCACTAAAACTTAAGTCATTTTCATAAATAGCACTTGAACTGTTTTATTCCCTAAATAGCACTTAATAATGTCCATAATGTCCAGTGATGACGAATATTAACTTGAATAATGACTAATGCATAATGACTAAAAGTGCTACATTGGGAAGAAAAACACATGTGGTGCTATTTAGGGAAAGTCATTATGTTTAAGTGTTATTTAAGTAAAATCCTCTTTAATTAACTTTATTTATTGCACTAATTTATTTCGGTCTCTGTGTAATTGTTCGTTATTCTCTCCTAACTTTATTACATGCTCCGTACACTCAATGTGTTTCGTAATTTTGTTATTAATCCATGGTTGATATTTTTAAACTTTAACTATAATAAAAATATGTTGTATTAAGAAATAATTTTAGTATAAATAACCTTTTAAAAACATACTCCGCAGTAGTTTTTATACTCCTTTCGCCTAAAAGTTTGTTTTTTACTCTTTCTGCCTAAAAGAAAATAGGAAGAAAATGAGAAGAAAACAAGAGAAAAAAATGGGACATAAAAGGGTAAGGAAAGAGAGAGTAACGGAAGAAGAGTTTGTCAAAAGAAAAAAAATTGATGGCAAAAATGTCATTTTACAACTTTTCTTTTCCCCCTTCCAATTTTTCTTTCTCTGCATTTTCACGCCAACCAAACGGAGGATAAATTCTATAGGTTGCCTAAACGGTTTGTTTTTCTTTCTTTCTTTCTTTCTTTCTATAAGAACATAAAAGAGTCTTTGAGTCAATCAAAACTCACCGTCTTTTTTATTTGACTTTGACAAATTCTTTGACATATATCCACCCATATTTCGTTATGCCTTCTTCTTCCTGCATTCGAATGGCGTTTCCGCAGATTCATACGCCACAAAGCTCACGCCTTTACTGAAACATAGGGCTTACGAGATCGCGTGCATTCAATGCTGCACCCTTTCTGTTCGACGAAATTCCCATGAGAAACATCCTAATAAGTTGTTCATAATTTACTTACTCTTTGGTATCATCTATACATTCCAACCATTAGATAATGAAAATCCAGAACTATACAACATTTAACATTTAGAATTAGGCTCCAAACTCTATTCTTTGCACTGGGCAAAATAGATGGGCCAAGCCCAAAGTCTGAGATTGTGGCTAGGAGGACAACTCCGACGTGGGCCGAGCTCATTCACCAGGTTGCATTTCAACATTATTTTTTGTCCAAAGAGAAATACGTGAGCACTACGGCGTGTTTCTTTGAGCAAAAATGGTGTCTTTTTCTATTGGATTGTGTGCGTGCGTGTATCATTGCTGCATTAGTGTGGTGACATTAAAGATAATCTTTTAGTTTAGTGCACACTTTGATGATCCCCCTTACACTTTATTGTAGTTTAATAAATGCATGTAACAAAGTGATAGAGAAAGTGATATACCAATTGCTTTATTGTTATCTCCCACTATTGTTTAATTATTGAAGTTCGTCGTGTTCTTTGACTACTCTGTTCTCTCTGTATGTACTCTATCTGCAGCTCTTTTAGATGCCAAATGTGTGTGTGGCCATTTATAGCTTAAACAACTAAGTTTAGGTCCTTGTAACACTTTCTATTCTCTTATGTACTTAGTCCTCAAAAAGAATTTATTGTTCACAATTCATAATATCATATGTCAAATTTAGACCACTTTCTTTACTTATTTTGTGTACTCGTCTGATAAAATAACTTCTTGTCATCTCATGTTTTGTACGGAGTAAAACTCTTGATATGCCGAGTGATTCTTAAAAATACAAATTTTGCACCTTATTTTGACATCATTTTTCAGATATATTGAATTGAAAACAACTCTAGTCAAATCATTCCGGAAGGAGCTAGTATTTTAGCTTAAGCCCAGGCTAAACCTTGAGGACCCCACATACCTTTGCCTGGACCTATTGTTCAAACACTAAATTGCCTTCTGAAGGATTGGATTTTCCACCTCAAAAGGAAGGGAAAAAAAAGAAAGAAAGAAAACTCTAACACAAGGATTATGCCACTCTGTATCTTACCATGGAACTACATCAGCCAAGGGGCCACAATTTTCTCCACTCTGTATTTTGTCTGTACCAGCAACCAATACTTTTTATATCTTTTCTTTGATATTCAAAGTTTCATTTCATTTAGAATGTTTTTTTCTTTCTCTTTTTTGAATCTTTATATCTGGAGAATTGTTTTTATTTATTTATTTTGAACTTAGTGTTAACTCCAAAACAGAAACTGATGGAGGGGCCAGAGAAGAACAGTATTCTATGGCATGGAGAATAGAAGATATATACAGAGTATATGCATTTCTTATTTATTCCATCTTATTTATTCCATCCGTCTCTAAAAGATGTTATTTTTCTCTTTATCACAAATTTTAATAATGTGAACATGAAAAGACATTTTCTTGGGACAACAGAAAAAAGAATGGATGAACTTTATTTAGAGACTGAGAGTGTGTGTGTGTGTGTATATATATATATACACACACACACACCCATACATACTCTAGCTGGCTATGCTAATCCTTCCAAAAACAGAGTAGAACCTTTAAATTTGTGCATTATTATATATGTGACTACACTTTAATCCTAAGCCATGCCAGAATCTAGTGTTTCTCTAAATTAAGCTAAACTTACCAAACTCATCTCCTTCAAGGGAAATAAACAGAAAGAGAAACTGCAGGTAATGCAAAAAAAAGTGGTTTTAAGCTTTTAGCATTATTGTGGGAGATAAAAAAGAAGATAAGATTTCAAAAAAAAAAAACAAGAAAAAAGAAAAGTGATGTGGGGGCAGGTGATGTTAAAAGTTTAAAGCAGTTTGCTGGGAGGAGTAGTTTGGTAGGTAACAATTTTCAGGTGATGATCATCGTCACCATAGGCCCGGCAAGCGGAACATGGCTTTCATGTGCTGTGCTTTTTGTGTTAATGTTATGTGTGTGTGTGTGTGACTGTGTATTCTTTTCTCTCTTGTTTCTTTCTCTCTAGTGGTTGGTGACTTGGTTAATGGTTTATGACTTGTGAGTTGATTATATACTTTTGTGTTTCAATTCCATGAATTTGTACAGATGGATCTCCCACTGAATTGCCTGCCAAATCATTGGGGCCACATGCATCCCATACCATACATGTAATGTTGTCTTTCTTTACCTTAGCCTTTTCTTTCCTCCCTTTTTTCCTCTCTGTGAATTGTTATTATCCATCATCACATCACTCTTTTCATCTTCACTTTTTTTCTTCTCTTTAATTTCTCGTCACGTCAGTGTCTGGCGCTGCTGGTTGATAGAGAGTGTCGGCATTTTTAGACTCGTGTTGGATTTCTAACAAATACAAGCGTCAGAAATGATTTTGTTCGGCATTAGCTCTCTGTAAGTATCATGGTGTGACACTTTCGGCTAAAATGGTGGTGTGGGTGATGACTTTTTATTAGGGGACGAGCATATCTTATGTTGTGTTGCATTCCGCACATCAGGTCTTGTCTCAAATTAAGTTTCGGAGTTTGACTTGACGAAATTTGAGAACAGTATTTGAATGTCAAAGACGAACGATTCAAAAAACAACTCAGTTAGTTTAGTGTGTTGAGGTGTACTCTTAGTGGGTACAATGCAGAGTACGTTCTTCCTTGCAATTGGTACTGTGTACTTATTTACTAGGATTTTGATATTGTGTTTGGAATTGTTAAATCGGGCATCCAGCTTGCACCTGTCAATTCAACCATAAGAATAAATAAATAAACTTTTGTAGAATTAAATTGGATGAGAGAAAGAAACAAGGGAAGGGAGGTGAGGTCTGAGGTGAGCTGGTAAGCACAGAGTGTTTAATTTGTCTCCTCTCCGGCATATCAACTCTTTGGTTGGTTCATCCATCCATCCATATTAATATCTTCATCCATCCCTGTTTTTCTTTGCTTTCCTAACCTTGTTTTTTAAAAAAAAAAAAATTTGCCAAATGCCAAAAGCAAATGCCAAAACCAACTCATCCATGCCAATACTAACTAACCAAAACCCCTTCTCCCAACATGTGCCGCCCGCCGAGTATGGATCGTCTCTATCCTTAGGCCATTTACAATGGACCGCCTCTCTCCCCCGCCCTTCTCCAATGCCACATTATGGCCTTGTTTGGTTGTTGGCAGTTAGCACTTAGCAGTTTGTGTCAGCTGTTATGATTGACCGGCAGGATGTGTTCACTGATCGTTAAAAATATTTAGGGAAATTAGATGTTCGTGTAAATATATATATAAAAGTGTGAAAAGGCTTATTAAGTTGTAACGTAAATGATTAAATTGAAAATTGAATAATTAAATTCATATTAAGAAAAAATTAAATACAAAAAGATTAAAACCAACCGACCAAGTGACAGATGATTAGGTAAGGGTTAAAAAAAGAAACTTGCCATGTCATAAAATAAAAACTCAGGTGGCAACTGATTAAGTAAGTGAGGTGACGGAGGGAGTAGATCTAGAAATCGGGTCAATCAGTTCCATTCTGATTCGGATCTTTTTGGTTCGGGTCTCTTTCCGATATATGTTAAAATCGGTTTGGGTCGGTTCAGTTTCGGGTTTAATCTGATTTGATTTTTCCAGGTTTCGGTTCGAGTTTATTTTGGTTTGGGTTTGTTTTGGTTCGGGTTTATTTCGGTTCGGGTTTATACCAATTTCCGATGAGATTCCATGGTATTGGAATTTCGAATGTTAGCCTTGCGTGTGGTGTCCGCTCTCTATGTGTATATGAGGTATATATACATGTGTCAACAATAATGAGTCACTATATCCATCAATATGTGTTACAATATCACTAGAAATTATACATGCTCTGTATAAAAATAGACATCCACTTGGGAGAAAAGCCAAAATAGCACTCTTAGATGCTTAAAATACTCTAAATAGCAGTGTTATATGTTTCATACTTGTGATTCCGATTTTGTCCTTTAATTAAACAATAAAATATTCATTGCACACTACCAAAAAAATATGATTATTTTGGACAGTGTAGTTGTTCACTTGTAACTATGTAGTGGGCAGTGTGGTTTTTTATATGTGTGTATTTACTGTTGAAGTGTAGAATGAATATATGTTGTTATATATTACGACAGTGTGTAATGCCCATTGATTTATGTGGCAGTGTTTTCATGTACAAATTTTACATTGTCAAAACGTGTATGACTATTTTCATGTATGAATTCCGCACTGTCCAAAAAATGCATAACTCTTTTTATGTATGAATTCCACACTACTTTCATGTATGAATTCCACGCTGCCAAAAATGTGTATCACTATTTTTATATATGAATTTCACATTGCCCAAAAATTTATGACTGGTTTCATAAATAATTTATTATACCAAAATATACTGGCCAAACATGGACATTAAATATGGAATGTACTTAATTTAATACGTACAAACTTATGTAGGCATTATACATTGGTAAACTGTGTAAGAGGAGGATCTCGCAAAGCTAAGGTAAACGTCGTAGGATGATGTTCTCGTACATATGAGATGCACGAATGAGAAGGAGCCGCACGTATGAGGAGTGACTACGTTAATAATCTAAGTTTAATCAAATAATTAAAAGTAATTAAAAATAGTAGAATGTAATTAAAAGTAGATGGTATGCTTAGAAGATATTGACACTATAAATAGTTAAATTCATATAAAAGATTAAGGAGTGTTATATACATAATATTGAGTTACTTAGAGTGCTACCTAGGGTGATTTCTTCAACCACTTTAGTTTAAGTGATAAAATACGAAATAAAAGATTTTAACAAAAAATTTGTTGTACATATAATTTAAATATTCTTTCCCGAAAAATAAATCAACTAATAAGCTACTAGGTTTGACTCGACTTGAGTTTACTTTTGTTTTGAATTTAATCAATATTGGGTCTAATAAGCTTTAGGTTTAATCGATTTCGGGTCTAATCGATTCCGGGTTTAATCGGTTGAATGTAGTCGTTTCGGGTTCAATCAGATTTGGATCTGAATCAGGTCTGAATGCATTTGGTTCGGTTTCGGTTCAATTTTTCAGTTTTTGGGTTCGGTTTTGGGCTATCAAATTCGGGTTTGTTTTGCCAAGTTTAGGAGGCAGTAATGTCATAAAAATACTTCCCCCGTCTCAAAATAATTGCCACGTACATTATGTAAAATGAAGTAAAATTTGGTATGAAAAGAAAAAATAAAATTTATATATTTAAAAACTAGGTCAAAAGTGATATAATTTAGGATGAGATAAAGATAATTGGATTGTGAAATAAGACATTTGGATTGAACAACATTAAAAGATTGGGTTCAATCGATTACTTACTTTAACTCATTTGCTTATATACCAATTATTTTACTCTTACACTTCTAATGTAGGATGACACTCTGATACTTCTCCTCAAGATAACTGGATTGTGAATGACCACTTCTAAATGGACTCTCTTCCCCTTTATTTTTTTTGAGTGCCAATACCTAAAGGACCACGAATTATTTTGTATAAACTTTCAGACGATCAATCGTGTTAGACAAGCCTCACGGTGTTAGGTAAATACTTCATACAGATAACTGAGCTAAAGACTAACGGGTTGCTGGGAATGAATATCGTCTAGACGGACACCTAGACAAAGGATGTGGGCCAAAAACTACTCTGATACCATGATATAATTTAGGATGTGGTAAAGATAACTGAATTGGACAATAAGTTACTTGAATTGAATCACATTAAAAGATTAAATCAAATTGATTGGTTAGTTCAACTCAAGAGGTTATATACCGATATTTTTTACTCTTGGACTCTCAATGTAGGATGACACTTTGACACTATTCAAAACAAGAAGTGACAAAAATATTTTATTTTATCAAATAATTGATGAAAAGATACAAATAAACAAAAGTTCTCGTAATTTTTAAATAGTAATTGATGAGATTCTTTTTTGGGGAAGGTAGTATGTGAATTGTTGGAGTGATTGGTACCATTATTTTTAAAATTTATGTGATAATCAATTTTTTTAAACTATGTGGCAGTGAACCAATTCAACAAGAATCTCAATAGGTTGAGGTCTTGAGGATAGTTTTTAATAGTCTTAACGTTTTTCTTCAAAAAAGAATAACAACTCTTGACAAAGGCATGTGGCTTTCAGGTGGTGGCGAGGTCGTCAATTTGCAAATTGTGGAATGTCCACTATAGACTTTTTAGTCAATTATTTTTAATATTTGATCTCTAATTATATAAAATTTATATTATAATTAATTAAATAAAATAATATTTTTAAAATATTTCATATAATAAATTTAATAAAATTATTTTTTGCATCAATATCTAATATTAATTCTATTTAATTTGAAGTCAAATTTATCAATTTTAACTGAAAAAAACTACTTCCGTCCCTAAATATTTGTCATTCTTGTATTCCAGAGGCAAAATATTTAGTTTTTTCACTTCATTTTATTTACATATTGGCAAAGAAATAAAAAATAAAATTTACATATCAAAAAACTACATGAAAAGTTCTTCGAAATAAGGGGTGTAAAGAATATTTTATTTTATCAAATAACCAATGAAAACATAGAAATAAATAAAAGTTCTCGCGACTATTGAAAAAGCTAATATAGCAAATATTTTGGGAGGGAGTAAGTAAAAAATGGACAAATATTGAAGAAGAGGGGGACTAAAACGCTAAGTCGCTAATGCGTGGCCGGCGCGCGACGTGTGGATCATGCTCCGTATCTATACTAGACTCACTCATCTCTTTTTTTTTTTCCATTTTGTTTTTCTGAGTTACTGTTTTAAATTTTGACTACAAATTATTAAAAATATTTTAAGTTGTGATTAGAGTTTAATATCAATAGATTTATATTATTCACCATAAATGTTACACTTGGTTATTTAGCTTTAATTTTTTTTAATTACTCCATAAAAACATGAACCTAAATTTATTTATTAGACAAAAATATGTAGTAATTATATTCCCGAGTACTTCGTCCTAATTAACCACATATTTATTTAGTTGACAGAAAAATTAAAAAAAGTGTAGAACCAAAAAAAGAGGATCATGTAAACAAAAAACGTGTAAAGTTGCCCTATCATTCATTATATTACATACTTTTTCCGTTCTTGAAAACACCTCTTATTTTGACCAAAATGTCAAAATAAGGAAGTTTAAATTGTAGTTGACTTCTAATTTTATCTTTGATGAGATAGTTAAAAAAAATGGAGTACATTATTAGGAAAAAATATGATGTAATAGGTAGGGCAAGAAAACGTAAGGCTAAAAATGGTTTTTTTAATAGAAAAAAGGAGGTGTTTTGGTAGGGAAAAAATGAAAAATGAAGTATTTTTTGAAGAGATGAGTATAAAAAAAATAAAGGCAAACAAACTTTGTTGGAACTA